ACCTTAAGCCAAAAATATCCCCTGAAGTCTTCTTAAAACTAAACAATAGTTTAGCTTAACTAGTGAAAAAAATGCTTGCCTTGAGCATTATGCTTTTTTAAGAACAACTATATGGGATCAAAGTGACAACAGCAACTGGAAAGATTAGATAGGAATCTTAGGAGGCAGTGAGTTTCTGTTAGTGGAGGATGAACAACTCAAAAAAGGAGAGAGACAATGGTTGCACAACTCATAGTATGTTATCAGTGTCACTGAATTGTACATGTAGAAACGGTTGAATTGGTGTATGTTCTCCTGTGTATATTCTCAATAACAACCACAAAAAAAAAAAAGACTACAGACTTAATATTGCACCAAAAAAGAGAAAGCCTTTCTATTAATGCAGCCCTTTGATCATAACTTGAATACAATCTACCTTCTTTCTTTCCTTCTTCTCTTCTTTTCTACCACCTTGTTCCACAAAAGAGATTAAGGAATTATAAACAATACATTTATATGGACATTTAAATCAATTAGAAATGGTGGGTCAAAATAAAGTAAACATTATAAAAGCAGGAGTGTGGTCTATGTATGAATTTTATGCCATAAAATCCTACATAGTGGGTTTAAAATCAATTTTATTAAGGTATTATTTATGTATAATAACCTACATTCTTTTACAAATGGGCCATACATTTGGCTCTAAATTTGCTAACAGTTGACACAATGAAGGACTCCTGATTATGTATAAATATTCACAGTGTTAATTCATCAAAAACTAAACCATTGCTTATTAAAAGGACTGGTGGTGCAGTGGTGAAGTGCTTGGCTGCTAATCAAAACGTCAGCAGTTCGAACTCAATCTTTCTCTGTGGGAGAAAGATGTGGCAGTCTGCTTCCATAAAGGTTTACAGCCTTGGAAACTCTATAGGGCAGTTCTACTCTGTCCTATAGGGTCCCTCTGAGTCAAAATTGACTCAATGGCATGGGTGGGTTTTAGAGATATTGCAAACAATGAGAGATTTTTTTCAAGGGTCCTTCTAGAAAGGAAACTATGTAATAAAATTGTATTAACAATCTCTCAATAACTATATGACAGTAAACACAATGATGCGTTTTAGAGGGTGTCTTTTATAAACATGGGTCAATGGCTTGTATACCAAATTGCCATTCAGTACAAGCAATTCTACTTGGGACAGGGGCAGGCGGCATGGGGTTGGTGGCTAACATAATGCCACCCAAGTAGACAGTGTTTGGAGCTTTAACTGAATCTAGGAAGAAGATGTATGATGGATGGAGGTTTATACTTCAGACAATTCTTTACTTGCATTTTTTTTTCCATGAGATATAAAACGGGTCTGAAAGACAGTGAATTTGGGGCTTTTTTCCCAAATAAGTGCCTCATGTGTTGCTATTCTATATTATCAAGACATGATGAGTTGCATGTTTTAACAACAAACAAATACAGATTTTGAGTGATATTCTGCTAAAAATAGAGGCCTATAATACAAATACCAGCCTAAACACAAGACCATTCCATAGGCTGATCTAAACTTCACCTGAGAAATTAATTTTGGGTTTAATGTGTGTTATAGATTGACTTGAATCCCCCAAAAA